TCGATATAACCCTTATGGGCCAAAAACTTGTATCTAACATTTTTTTGGGCCATAAGACTCTTATTGGGCCTTGTTGGGTCGTGAACATCTTTCCTAGACCATAGTGGGCCAAATACCTTTATTAAGTATTATTTTAGGCCAAAAAACTCTCTAATGGGCCTTCCAAGACCGAAAAACCGCAATTGAGCTCTTTTTGGGCTAAAAACCCTAATTAACTTTTATATGGGCTGAGAACCCATATTTGGATCATTATTGGGCCAAAAATCATTATTTTTGGCTCATCAAACCGAAAATCAATGTTGGGCCACCTAGTGGGCCAAAAACTTGTCATTTGACCTCATTCGGCCGAAAACTCATATATAGACCTTCATGGGTCAAAAATCCTTATTGGGTCCAATGTGTGCTCGGTTACCCTTCCAAACCACGCCCAATTTCTTCTTTTCTCATTTGATCCAATCAGTTAGCCCATCTAATAAAAACAATAGGAAACCACTTTGGACAAAATGGTGCCACCTCAATATAATCATTCATACATCTCGGTGATTGTCCAACAAATAACCAAGTCCCTCACATCAATACAAAGCTAGATTCAACCTCTACTACCCTCCCCTTATCTTGGCCAAACCACTATCATCTCTCTCCGTTTTGTGTGATATGTGTGTTAAATGATGTGAAATTCATGCTAAGAGTCCATGAACTCGAGATTTTGGTTGAATCTCAAGTTGTTGGACTTAGGTAACTTGATATATTGTTAAAAATGAAAACTAGCTTCTAAAAGAAATTTTTTCACTTGATGCATGGTATATATCACAAGGATTAGTCCAAGAATACGTTTAAACAAATATTTGACATGAAAACATGAAAAATGGACTATTTTCGGCCATAAAGGTAAGAATGGACCATTTTTTAACATTTTGATAAACTTGGGCCTTTATTGACAATTTTAGTATAAATGAGCCGAAAATCGGCTTTTTAGTAAACATGGGCCATTTTTAGCACTTTTCTAAAAATAGGTCTTATAATAATATTTTTGTAAAAGTGGGCTATTTTTGACAACTTTAATAATAATGGGCCATTATTGACATTTTAGATAATATTGGGACACTTTTAACATTTTAGTAAAATTTGGGCTTTTTATGACAATTTCGAAAAAAACGTTCTATATTGACATCAATGGTAAAAACGTGCTATTTCGACACCTATGGTAAAAATGGTTATTTTTTACCACAATTGCAGTCGAAGATATACATTACTAAATTCATTTATAACGTTGAATAATGAAACTCAATGTTTGCGTAAATTCCGTTAAGGCTCTTGTGAGACATTCATTCACTCGTACCCACTTAGTGTACACCGTAAGTTTTGTAGTTATAACCGGAGTCTCCTTGAGCGAGAGCAGGAGTTTGTGTATAGATCTATACGGGGTTGACACCCCACACCTTAGTTGCTCGCTACAAATAGACATGCCAGTCTAGGGTGACAAATATCTTCTCAAAACTGACGCCTGAAGAACGTCAAGACATGCACTCTGTCATATTAGTATGGTTATAATGACTCACATATAGATAACAATATTGTTATAAGATTTATGTTGAATATACACATCACTCATTTTTACAACGTACAAACATTGTGTCGACTATTTTGTAAATAGTCACATCACTCCAGTCTTAAGGTTTTTAAGACCACACTATTACATTTAACATAAAATATAGGATTTTCTGGAAACACTCTCTATGAAGTTTTCAAACAAAGCAAACCATTTATACACATGCAAATACACATGAATTTTAAACAAGACTTAAACTATTTTTATAGAAAATATTAGATTTTCTGGAGATTTTAAACTATTACAAAGTTTTTTTACAAACATACTTATGAACTCACCAACATTATATGTTGACATTTTTCAAACGACTTGTATTCTCAGGAACATAATGAGCCGGTTCTTTACAGCCATGGGTTTGAATGAATGTTATATTTTGATTTCATCGTACATTTGTTATTTTGGGATGTAATTTTTATGAACAAACACAAGGTTGTAAACCATGTATGTTGTTATCTTGAATGTAAGATGATAATGGTGGCTATGTTTCATTTATATACACTTGTTATGATATTACAAAATGAAGTCACCCGCCCCCGGACGTTTTCGTCGTCCCGGTTCGGGAGTGTGACAGTTATTAACGAACATTCTTAAAGACATTCTGACATAATGCATTTATACAAACAAATTATGACAGAATATAGTACATAATATTCTATAAGAATACATATACTTTATTCTAACAGGATATTACTTAGAGTTTAATAGTTATAAAAAAGCATGTTTATTCTGCAAGAATGATACCGTAAATATTCTCCAATAATGGCTTTGATTATTCTTAAAGAGTATGAAATTAATTCAAAGAAATAAAACTAAATCATCATGTTTATAGAATAGCTAATCATAAGAAAAGATAATTAAAATAGAAAAAATAAATACCTCATTAGACCAATACAAACCATATTAACAAAACTACAGTGGCTAATTTTCAAATGGATACAAAGACTTATCAGTGGACATCATGTGCCAACGAATGAATGAAATATTTGGTTCAAGCATTTTAATAAACAGTTGGTGGGCAAATTCATATGTTGTTTCAATCTAAAGCTAGATGATAGTTTAGGCAACAAGAAAATCAAAGTTTTATCATAATCCAGCCTTTTAAAAAAGAAAACTTAGAAAGTCGAGTTTTGG